AGAAGAGGTAGAGGGCGGCCTAAGAAGTATTGGGGAGAGGTGATCAGACAGGATATGGTGAGGCTCCAAATTTTCGAGGACATGACACTTGATAGGACGATGTGGAGATCGAGTATTAGAGTTGTAGGTTAGGATGTAATTGAGTCTTGACTTACTTCGTACTATTGTGGGACTAGCCAGGTAGGGTTTTTGTCTAAGATAGCTAGTGACAATGTTGTGTTTTACTACTTCGTTTTTCAGTGCATGTCCTATTTACTAGCTATCGCTTTTGCTTTGCATCTTTCTTCTGCATTTCATGGTGTTCCTATTTTTCCTATGATTGTTGTGGTGATACTAATATTGTCTCATTTTGTCCTTTTATCTTTTTGTTTTCTTGAGCGGAGGGTCTTTCGGAAACAGTCTCTCTACTCCTTCGGGGTAGGGATAAGGTCTGCGTACACACTATCCTCCCCAGACCCCATTAGTGGGATTTTACTGGGTTGTTGTTGTTGTTGTTGTTGTTGTTGTAAAATTCGATTGGGAATATTAACCGACTTTTTATTACAATCTTTAATACGGATATTAAAGAATGAGCTTAATTCCTACTTATTGTCTTATTCTTTTTTTTTCCATTATAACCTATGGAAATTTTGACCTCTTTATTAGGGATGTTAAATAATGAATTTCCTACTTATTTCTTACATTTTTAACTACGGAAATTTTGACCTCTTTAATAGGGATATTAAATAATAAGTTTTCTATTAATTGTCATATTCTTTTTTCCTTTTAAACCTACAAGATTTTGACTTTCCCAGCAAACTGGGATATGAACGGACCGTTTTTACACTCTTGTTATTAGGAATATTAATTAAAGAAGGATTCTCCTACTTATGTTTTACACCTAAACTTCGCAAAAGTCCTATTACTCTTCCTATTTTTGTTCAAAATAAAATAATTACCATTTTGAGTGCCCATGTGGCGTATATTAACTCATGAGAACCCCGTTATTGTAAATATGCTCCCCATGTGTATTACACTATTATTGCGTAAAAATATCATTCACTCTTCTTTTCCATATTTTCTTTCGCATTTTTAGATGTTATTTTCGTCCGTTTCACTAATAAAACCTAGAAAAATATTGAACACCGAATTTATATTGGACAAAACTTAATAGATTTTGAACTCCTAAATAGTAGGAAAGTTTTTTTATTTTACAATTTTATCCAATGAAAAATATGTTTTTAAAGGGTAAAAAAGGCGAACGACATTTCGCTAAGAGCATTCGTGCTTTTAATATAATATAGATATAGATTTCGGTCCTAGGTTATCTCTACACAGTATAAATACACTAGAACCACGTTTTTAAGGGAATTTTGACCTAGGGAGCTATTGGAGAGCATTGGAGGCTTCAAAACACAAGATTTCATCATCCTTCCACCAATTCAATACGCGAGTTTGGATTGTAACATTGGATTAATGTTTTCTTATTCTTTAACTCTATTGTGATGACTTTCTCCATATCTATGGAGTAGTTTACCTAAGGGTTTGACATGATTTGGTAACTTGGTTGTTGTTTATGGATTTGATTATTGTTTAATTGCTTGAGTATGATGGAAGAGCTTTAATCTTAGTTGTGATTTTATTCGTTATCTTGTTTAACCGAAAGAGGAACACTTTATTGAATATTATTGCACCATATGCTTTAATTTATTTTGGTAGTTCTTTAACCTAATCGAAAAAGCTTCGTGATCTACCGTTTAAATTAAGATTGAGAAATATTTTCGAGAAGTTTCTCTAAGATCATTCCTACCAATAGATTCTTGCAAGTTCCACCGCACTTCACATTAGCTTATTTGAGCGGTTCAAGTTTAATCGAGAGAGGAGTCTGAAACAGAATAATAAGATAATAACATGTTGAACTCGTGAGAATCAATAAAACCTTTAATTGTGTCAAATCCAGGACATCAATCGTACACCTATCATGTCATGACCCTTATTTCTCGCACTGATAACAACCCAAGTTTACTACTCGCTAGTTCTATGTGATCAATTATAAATTGCTTTAATTTTAGTTAGTTAATTGTAGTTCATAATCATCCCAAATCAAAATGTTGAACATCCTAAATAGCATTAACCCAGAAATTATTTGATCATTATTTAAGTCCAACCCCTATGGAGACGATATTTTCCTATACTATCTTTGACTAACGAGCTTCAGTTTTTATACGCCGGTTTTGCGCTCGTCAGGATTCCCAACCATTGTGTTACCATCAATGCTATCACATATTTAAAGGATTCAAATTCATTTAAAAGTTCAGTTTTAAACCATGATGGAACATATTTATCAAAAATAATCTTTCATGACTACTTTGGTAATTTCCTTGACTAAGTACCAATCTAAAATTACGCGCTGAACAAACATTCCATCTGTTCGCCTAGTCCAAAGATGGCATATCAAAATAGGTTCATGGTGGATAAAGTATAAGAAAATGCTTCTTGTTGCCAAAGCTAGATTGTAATATCATATTAACGTTCTAATACAGAAAAGCAAAAAGGAGAGCTGAAATAACATTTTGAATCAGAAGATTGGAAGTTACCTGCTCATAAATGCAAAAGGTTCTAGCAGAAGCTAGTTCTTTGGAAAAGAAATCTTTATCAGGACAGGTTGAAGAGAACCACTGGCAGCCAATTTCAGGTGCCTGCGATAAATGCATTCATTTAATAGACCTTTCTATGAAAAACATTTGCCTAATCTTGGTAGCTCAACATGTCATGTGTCTTAGCCAGAAAAAAAAGCCTCATATCTCCTTTCAAATTTTGATTATTGAAACAAAATACTACATCACCCATGCCCCTGAGCTAATTTATAGTGGTTTTGACCATCAAGCTCTTTGCTACACAAACAATTGCCGCTCATCAGATAAACAAGTTTAGCACAGATATGACAGCCAAGAGTACGAATTCAATTAAGGGATTTTAGCAAAGAAACCCTTGCCCTATGTCAGGCAATCACTGCTATCAGTTAGATGCATGAAGTATCCATACCATGGTCTATTGATGTGCACAAAAACAATGTCATTTACTTCATTATCATCCGTTACACTTAACTTTTTCCTTATTTTACCTAACTGAGAAGAAGAATAGCACAGCAAACAAACTAATGAAATTACCTGTAGAAAGTCAATGCCATAGGTAATCTTGACCTTTGAATAAGGGAATGCAGCTATAAAAGAATCGTTCCTCCATGCAGTAACAGGTTCTGTAAGAACAGGAGCCAATTTCTCACAGCTTTTACCACTACGATCTAAAGCTGCCTTCAGCCCAGCTTCTTCAATTGCTTCTACCCATTCTCTTGCTGACCCATCCAGAATAGGAACCTGTCTCAGTTTGTTTAGTTCAACAATTAATTATTTTACTGCTAATCCAATATTATTTTTGATACTGCCATTCATCTAGTCAAATAAAGATTTTTGAACACCATAATTTCCATAATTAATTGCTAAAATTACCACCAAAGAAAAAAAAGAATGAATAAGTCAAAAGCACAAAATCTAGCCCCTAAAAACATTATGATTCTTTTTTTGGGGGGGGGATAAAGTAAGGTAAATCTAATCTATAAATACTCCGTCTATTGCAAATTTACTATCCCACATTGACTTTGGTGGTCAAAATTAGGAAATCTGATCATCAAACCATTGTTAATGTACTTAGACTTAAACAACTGAACTCAATATTCTTATAAGTAAATCAAGAATCTCATTAAAATAGAAGCAGCACCATAAAAGTGCAGACTATGTACAGTGAGGTTACAAAAAATATACGAGCCCCCGATGTGCTTTGGAGGAAGTCAAGGAAGACCAACAAAAGTATGTGTATATATATATATACGAGCCCCCGATGTGCTTTGGAGGAAGTCAAGGAAGACCTTGTGAACTAGCCTTGTGAGTACTGAGTCAAATTAGGACTACACTTGAAAATGCGACAAATGGAATGGGAGTACCTCAAAGGAGGAGGGATCAGAGGTTTCGACTTCGAGACGGCAATTATCGACGCCGGTGGCTTCCAAAGCGGAAAGCAAGTGCTCAACGGTACTAATAGAGTGCCCATCTTTACACAGCGTGGTGNCTAATAGAGTGGCCATCTTTACACAGCGTGGTGCACAGTGGAGACTCCTTGGCGAAGTCAATGGATGCCTGAATGACCTTTGAACCGAGTTCAAAGTACCTACCCTCGCCGGCAAGCTCCGGGCAGATTCTAACGGTGGATACCTTGCCGGAGTGGAGACCGATTCCGGTGACTTCTACACAGTTGGCTACTGTTTGCTGGAGCTTACCAGTCTGCAAAAAATGAAATTAATTTGTCAGTTAACAGTCTTGTGTGTGTGTGTGTGTATATTTAGAGAAAAAGAGAGAGTGAGTGCGTGTACGGAAATCCAGGAGATGAGGGTTGAAGAGTTGCGAACGAATGTCATTACGGATTGTTAAAGCCCTCTGGTCGCTTATGTGGTTATCTGTGTAATAAATCACCGAACACCTAATTAGCCCTTCTTTTTTAAAATTTATATTTCTTTCTATTTTCTCCTCTTTTTCTTTTTATTTCACCTTCCTTGCTCATTTTTTTTTTACCTTTCTTTTTCATTTCTTCGTTTGAATCCATCCGAAATTCTCTCTCTTATTATTTCTGATTTTATTTATTATCTTTCTTATTTTATCCATCCTGCATTTCTTACCTAAATTTATTTGAAAGAAAAAATACTCTTTCAAGTATTTGTAGAGCATGAGATTTAATGCCTTTCAAGAAATTAGGAAATAAAGGAATAGGACATGTGTGTAGCTATCTTCTTTAACAATTTAGGTATCTCCTTTCAACAATCTTCAGAATTTGGATCTATCAAAACCCTAATCTTCTATACCGATTTAGGAGCAAAAACCCTAGTTTTTATCTCGATTTTCGAATGGAAGCAAGAATAGACAATGCAATCGAGGTTAGAACCAAGATTAATGGAGAAAATCGCTACTGAGAGATTAATGTAGCCATTCTCCGATGAGAGCAAAAAGAAAATGAGTTTTTTTATAATTGACTCACTAGCTTTAACCCTAGCCCCTTTTTTTTATTTTTACCATGTAATTTTTTACTATGATATAATAAAGAGTATTAAAATCTTAATTAAGTATATTTTTTAGATTGAGTTAAACAAATATTCATGTAGGTTATCACGTGGCAGATTTTAAAAATAATTTGGAGAGTGTATTACACACACTAGTAAGAATGCGACGAGGGGGTTTTATTATGAAGGAGAATATAGTTGAGAAAGTTTTCGAGGACAAGTGATAGTTTAGGTAGGCAACTGACAAAGGTTGTATAGTTTAGGCGGGTTTTAGGGTATTAACTCTTTTAAATTCAAGAGAATTACACGTAAATACACTCCCACACACATACATTGCAACCAAATGGTTCGGACTTCATACACAACTTTATAAAGCTCTAGTCCAAAAACTCTAGGCCCAAACTTTAAAAAGGAGCTTATCTCCATTTATTTTTTTTAGGGAAAATTATGCGACACCAGTGTTTTAAAAGGCGTTTTCGGGGCGAGTCCTAGGGCGAGGCATACCAAAAATGCCCCGAGGCGATGGTGTGGGGCAAAAATCTCAAGAGGCGTACGCCCAGCAATTCGGGGTGTACGCCCGGGCATTCAGAACGTATGCCTGGGGTTTGAGGCATTTTTTATAGTAAGGCGTAAGCCCCAAGGACTTTTTCAAATTAAAACAAAATTTATTGAATAAGTCCTTCATATAATATCCAAATTCTCAAAAGTCATATTATAATTACTCAAAAGTTTTAAAAAGGAACTGAAATGTATTAAATTTAAAAGTCAATAACTTTTTTAATGATTGAAGCCCTAATTTATGGTCTTTTCTAATTCTTTATCTTGTCCGCTAGTCTGCTAATATCTCCCAAAAGCAATGAATATTCAAAAAAAATTACAAATATAAGAGAACTTCATTCTCCTTCATAGCAGCAAGTTCAAAGATCAAATTGCAGGTTAGTCATCCTTTTTGTTCCTCCATGTAGAAAATTTTATTCTTTTCGACTCAAGCTATTTGTGATTGTAAGTAGCGTATAATAGATTGCTTTGACTAGTTTTTTGTGGGGATGGAGCACATCTATATATATATATATATATATATATATATTTCACATATTTATAGCTTTCTTTAATTTTT